GAATAAACGATTATATGACCTGTGTCCCTTTTAAAGTTCATTATCAAATGATCAAATATTTTTTGTTGGAGTTTTTTGATACCGAAAAATATCCATTGACATTTCCTCAATTTTCATGTTTTCATTCAGTCAAAAGGGGCCAAAAATGGCCGAATTCAATGGATCTATCTCCATGGCAACCGATTGCACGTGTGGAACTTCCAACATGGTATGTACTAGTTTTGTACCCAGTCACACCTATGGTGAAAATTTCATCAAAATCGAGACATGTCGTTTCCAAGCCCTATAGTAAATTTGTTGGTGCTTACAGAGAATGCGTGTTTAGGAGCTTATATACAGGATCCTTAGAGTTACTTTAGCTCGTTGTTATATAATTTTATTGACGTTATAAGCTCAGTAATATTGCTATGCCTGAATTAAGAACAAAAAATTTACTTAATTGTTAAAGTTCAACACTATTTTTTTTATATTTACCAAGTCATCATTTCTATTACCAAGTCATCATTTCTAGACAAAAATAATCAAATCTGTAAATGAGTGCATGTCAAAAGTGGATTTATTTCCTTTGTTGCTATGGGGAATTTTCTGTTGCCATGGTGATTAGCATTTGCAAAATATTCCTGGATTCATACAGAAGTCTCAGAAATATGTTTTAACTTTAAAATTTGGTTTTGGTATCCATCGATAAGATTTAATTCCATAGATAACTCGCATATTTGACAATTTGTCTCTTTCTCTTTATCAAAACATCCATTTTTGTTGCTAGGCAACCGATTGTAAATATTAAAAAACACACGTTTTTGAATTTAAATTCCAAAAGGGACATTCCTCTGCCTTTATGTAAAATATACCATACTCTTGTATTATGCCAGAAGTTTGAGATATATGGCCTTGAAATTTGCCAAAATTAACAAAATTGCTGAATCAGCAAAAACGGCAAAACATGCATATCTTCCATTGCCCGTAAAAGAAATATCTTAAAATAAAAATTCTATGTATTGCAAATGCTGTTCTCTGATTTGCCAGACTGGTTTCTTTTTAACTTTTATTTTGTTAAAAAAAAAGCTCCGAGTTACTGGTTTCATGTACATGGAAAATCTCAAAACCTCGTCATCTTATCAACAATTACTAAGTTTAACTCTCTATATCCTTTTTTTTTTTTTACACATATTGCAATCAAAGAGAGGTAAAAAAAAAATCGTGAAGAACAGGAATCGGTCATGACAACAATTGCTTCGTTAAATTATAGATATATAATTGTCATTTTTGTGAAACCCTAATTAGGAAAGTGAATTAAAAAATTATTGACAAAATCTTTTTATGATGATTAGATTGTTTTGCCTTAATTAGTTTTTTTTCATTCAGGTATAATATAGATAAAGTGCAATCATAAATTAAGTTTATTTACAAGAGGCCCATAAATCAATGTTTATTGCCTGAGAAGCTTTGACCATTCTGCTTTACCAGATTTTACCTGGTGCACAGCCATCCCCACCCTACCCCATTGATCATAATTTAGACATTTTGAAATCTACACTACCCATGATCCTTCCATGGGCACATCGTTGGCTGGTATTGAAATTTGAAGACAATCGATACTGAGAAGAAGATTTTCAAAGATTTTTCCTATATATTTCTATGTAAAACTTTATACCCTATAAAATTTCTTCCCCCGGGGGTCATGATTCCTACAATTTAGAATTTACACTACCCCAGAATTTTAATTTTTTTTCTTTCCCAGTGGTATCAAAGAAGTTTTTCAAAGATTTTTCCTATATATGTCTATGTACAACATGTAATTATTGTGGCAAAAGATCAATATCCCCCCGGACAAATAAAACATTTAAGAATAATTTAGAATATACATTTTGTATATGCATATCCACATAAGTTTCAGCTTTTCTGGCCCAGTGCCTTTTATTTTTAAAAACTTAATCAAAGATGTTTTCCATATATTTCTATGCAAAACTCAAATGCCAATATACAGAATCATGTGTCTTAGTGTAGTCTACGTGTATGCCAACAATTTAGAATTTACACTACACGGCAGGAGGCTTCCACATAAGTTTCAGATTTTCTCAAGGCCTAGATGGTTCTATTTTGAGAACAACATTCACTTCAAAGATTTTGTTATATATTTCTATGTAAAACTTTGATACCCCATTGTGGCCCCTAAATTCCCCCGGGGGTCATGATTTGAACAACTGTAGGAGATTTTAGTTTACACCAGGATGCTTCACATAAATTTCAGATTTTCTGGCCTAGTGGTTCTATGAGAAGAACTTTTCAAAGATTTTTCCTATATATTTCTATATAAAACTTTGATGCAGCTTGTGTAGCCCACTTATGGGGTAAGTTATATTGAATTTAGATGAAAACTGTACGAGGAGTAGCGTTTTCTATATCAGAGAAATTGAAATTTTTGCTTTTCATGGCAACAGTGGTTCTTGAAAATAAAGATTTTCAAAAGATTTATGTTTGTTATTATATTTCTATGTAAAACTTGGATTCCCCACTGTGGCCCCGCCCTTAGACAGACGAAAGGATGACAGGAAAATTAAGATTCTAAGCTCTATACCAGGAGAGATCCACATAAGTTTCAGCTTTTCTGAGCACTATGCCTTAGGAAAAAAGCAAAAATTTTTCCTATATATTTCTATATAAAACTTTGATTCCCCATTGTGGCCCCGCCCTTCCCCGAGGGGTCATGATTTTAACAATTTAGAATCTACACTACCCCAGGATGCTAACACATAGAGTCTGACACATCTGTACTGGCCCAGTGGTTCTTGAAAAAGACGTTGATGGTAATCTAACCCAAGCTATTTCTCTTTTCATGATGACTTTAACGTTTGATCTATCGTCAACTTCCCTTACTTATGCAGCAATATACCTTCATCACCTGCATACGGAGTGTATATATCTCAGTTGATTTGATACGCAAGAGCATGCTCTACGTACGAATAATTTCTAAAACGAGGTAAATTATTGACAAGCAAGTTGATGAAACAAGAATATCAGCAGTCTCGTTTAGTAAAGTCATCATTTCGTAAATTCTATGGTCAGAGACGACCTTGTCGGTATACTGGTATATTGCAAATTTTTGTTGTGTGATTGTGATAAAGAGATCTATCTAAATACTTGTCTTTAGGTACATATTATAAAGTCCAGAAATTTTTCATTTGTATGTTCAATCTTTCAAATTACAATTACAAAAAATGATTTTAAAATTGAAGAGAACAGCAATTTACCATACAAACATGATGGATTTTATATGCACAAAAATTTCAAGAAAGTAAAATTTGTTTTTCTAGCATATATTTTAGAAAAATAATGACTTTTTATTAAAAATCATTGTAAAAACTGCTTTTAAAAATATCATATTATCGTGATATTTTTGGATAAAAATCGTTATATATCGCGTTATGAAATTTTTGGCGATACCAATCCCAATTTACGATTAAGGAAATATTTTCTACAAAAACAAAGCAAAATAAATGGTTCACAGCAATTAATATTCATGACTTAGGGACATATGATACAAATGAATAATGGATTCCTGGATTGATCTATAATTTTTGGCCTAGTTTCATTGAAAATGCTGCAAATAATATATTTCTACTATATAAAGAAATTGTACACCTTCTATGATGTTCAAAAGTGTAACCTCTTTGAAACCATCCTTATTAATCTATGCAAATATTTTTCACTTCAAATTCCTTTTTTGTGAAAATTTGACCAAAAATTTAAAAACTATACGGTGAAACTTCATCATTTTATTCATTAAAGCATGACTTGAGTGGTTATTTTCAAATTTTTGACAAAAGTTTGTATCATCTGTCCTTAAAGAATATTTTTCACATACGAATAAAAGTTGTTTAACCATTTTTACAGTATTTTAACATTTACTAATTCATTGTCAGAAATGTGAATTTGAATAGAAAACTGAAGCATCAGAAAAGTCATGAGTTTCTGATAATGTACCCCATTTATTACTAGTTTGTTTTCAATTTCCTTTTGTTAGATTTTCCGTTTTAAGTTCATAATTTTTTCAAGCTGCATGCATAAATTTATAACATTAATACTTGCATTGCTTGAGATTCTCATGCATTAAGTACTGGCATCTTAATTATTTAATAATGTGAAAACTATGACCTCTGACCAAGGGTTTCAAGTATTGAGATTGGCTATATGGAGTTTTTCGAGGTTCTGCTGTAAAAACTTTTAAAAAAGATAACAAATATAGAATCATTAGTTGAACAATTTTGTCAAAAGAATTTTGTTATTGCATTTTGTGCAGGTCACCTTGAAAGCATTGTAATAATATCCCCACTCTGAAGGGGTATACGGTTAACCCTTATGTGTCTGTCTGTCTGTCATACACACATTTCCATTGCAGTTTTCTCAGCAAGTATTCATTTCAGGTGATTGAAATATTAGTACACTCATTAGGCATGTCATATGGTGGGCTTTTTTTATTGCAAAATTGATGTCAACATATGAGATTTTTTTTCCAGATTAGAGCAGGGTTATTACTACCGAGCATTTGCTCACTGACTTCTTGTTTTTTCTGTTCACATGTAATGAACTCTGCATCATTACAGTATGCATGATTCTGTAATATATATGTTTAAATCCTGATTGATAATTGTGTTGAATTTTCTTTGTGCAGGGTATATATCAGCTCTTCTACAAAGAGAAAAGTAGTGTAGATAGAGGGTCTTTATACCAGCTGCGGAATCTGATAAACAGACGAAATGTTTCTGGGCCTGAAGAAGTCATTTCAAGCTACAGGTACATGTATTACAGTGCTACTCATATTTTGTACAGTGTACTTATGTACTTACAGGAATTATTTCATTTTACTTGAGCAAACCTTGATATCTTGATTGTTTGGACAATTTATTTAAGATGTATTTTACCTGTACATGTATAACCACATTATTTTATCAGAATCATAAAATATTTCTCCCCTCAAAAATTAGATGGATATTGTTAGTTCTTTGTTTTTTATTCAGAGCACACCATGACTTCATAGCAGACATCACAGACTCCTACATTGTTGCAGCATTTCTAGATATCATGCAAATGGAGGATTTGAATTCTACACCTAAGCCTATACCTTTGTTTTCATTAATGTCTGACAACCAGAAAAATGATTGGCTTATAGATGCAGCAGAGAAAGTTATCACAGACTTGAAAATAAACAAAGTTTCTTTTCAGCATATAGTTGATGATATAGCAGCTCTTGATGGTGATACAAATAACCTTAATGCCATGAAAACCGATGAGATCTATTTGTGTGCAGTGTGCGGGAAACAATATTATAGGAGAGGTTGGCTTAAAAAACATCTGGAAAAGAAACATCATTGGGAGTTTCATGTACCCCAGGGAAGCTCAGAGGAGAACAATCCGATACAGACATTTATGTTCATGTCACTGCTATACAGAGACACATATGACTCGTATCGAATGGGGGATGGAGACAGAATAATACGAAACGTGTATTTCGAGTGGTTGTATGCCGCTGGAATTAGGCATTCTAAGTACAAAATCTGGCTCTTTAGAATTCTGTGTAACATGTGTCTTTTAAGTCCTGAACAGAGTTTTGAATATAAATGGAATATGACTGTAAACTTACAAGGTGGAATTGGACAGAGCATTCCCAATGACAACTGTGTGGAAATTCAAGTCCACAATATCAAGAGCCAATTGAACACACAGGGATCTAACAAGTCTTTCAAGACAGCGAAACAAATCTGCATGACAACACAGGTCATTGATGCGATTAAAGATGGTCTTATGTCAACAACAAAAACAGCACGGTCCAAGAGCAGTCGACCAGTGGCAGATAAGACAAAGGACATCATGACCGTTGTAAACTTCCTCAGATCTCAAGGCTTTGTCAAAGATATCACTTGGTCAAGTTTCAGTAAGTTTAAAGATCCGATCAGGTGTATTGAGGCCATAGATTTACATGAGTGGATGATTGAACAGAAAGAAATTGCTAAGGTGTACATGAAATAATGAATATTTCTTTGTGGTTGCTTATGAAATGTGTTCACAGGTTATATCATGATATATAATATGTGATATGAGACTTAGTAGTAGTAACATTGAGTGCAATGTTTCTGACATTATTTTTTGTGCAAATATTCTCGACAACTGACAAAATGTATTCCAGTTCACTGACATCAAATGCTTTCTTTTTCTTTTTTTTCTTTTTTAACCCAAAGTCCAGAGAGAAATCTAAAGAATAAAGTAACCTTCTTAATTTTAGAATAATTCTTTAAAAAATTATAAAATCATTCTTCTTTCTGCTGAAAATCGGGGACATTTTTCTCATCCAAAAATCTAGCTGCTGAACTCTAGCTCTCCGGAAAAAAGTATATTGACAAATCCGAGAGCTAAAGTGCCACCCATTGAAAAAAAATATATATTTATGTCCACAAAAAGTGTGATGCTTTCAATTATTTCTCCATGTTCTTAAAACCTCCATCTCAAAATATTACTAGCCGTGTGTTCCAAACAAATTTTTCACTGTTTTCTAGGGCTGAAACGATACACCCCCTTCACTATACGATACATATTGCAATACTTGTGTCACAATTCAATTTTTTCGATACGATACATTTTAAAAACAAGAGGCCCATGGGCCACATCGCTCACCTGAGAAGCTTTGACCATTCTGTTCATTACCAGATTTCCCCCTTGTTATACATAATGCATCCCCACCCTACCCCAGTGATCATTATTTAGACAGTTTGAAATCTACACTATCCCATGATCCTTCCATGGGCACATATGTTTCAGCTTTTTTGGCCCAGTGGTTCTTGAGAAGAAGATTTTCAAAGATTTTTCCTATATATTTCTATGTAAAATTTTGATTCCCCATTGTGGCCCCGCCCTTCCCCCGGGGGTCATGATTTGAACAATTTAGAATCTACACTACCCCAGAATGCTTCCACATAAGCTTCAGCTTTTCTGGCCCAGTGGTTCTTGAGAAGAAGATTTAAAAGATTTTTCCTATATATTTCTATATAAAACTTTGATTCCCCATTGTGGCCCCGCCCTTCCCCCGGGGGTCATGTTGTGAACAATTTAGAATCTACACTATACCAGGATGCTTCCACATAAGCTTCAGCTTTTCTGGCCCAGTGGTTCTTGAGAAGAAGATTTAAAAGATTTTTCCTATATATTTCTATATAAAACTTTGATTCCCCATTGTGGCACCGCCCTTCCCCCTGGTGTCATTATTTGAACAATTTAGAATCTACATTATACCAGGATGCTTCCACATAAGTTTCAGCTTTTCTGGCCCTGTGGTTCTTGAGAAGAAGATTTTCAAAGATTTTTCCTATATATTTCTATATAAAACTTTGATTCCCCATTGTGGCCCCGCCCTTCCCCCGGGGGTCATGATTTGAACAATTTAGAATCTACACTATACCAGGATGCTTCCACATAAGTTTCAGCTTTTCTGGCCCAGTGGTTCTTGAGAAGAAGATTTTCAAAGATTTTTCCTATATATTTCTATATAAAATTTGATTCCCCATTGTGGCCCCGCCCTTCCCCCATGGGTCATGATTTGAACAATTTAGAATTTACACTACCCCAGGATCCTTCCACATAAGTTTCAGCTTTACTGGCCCAGTGGTTCTTGAGAAGAAGATTTTTTAATGACCCAACCCTATTTTTGTCTTTTCTTGATTATCTCCCCTTGCGAGGGGATATGTCCCTTCATTTTAACAATTTATATTTCCCTTCACCCAAGGATGCTCTGTACCAAGTTGGTGAAAATTGGCCCTAGTGGTTCTTGAGAAGAAAGTCGAAAATGTGAAAAGTTTACAGACGGACAGACAGACAGCTGGACAGACGGACAGCTAGACGGACGGACGACGGACAAAATGTGATCAGAAAAGCTCACTTGAGCCTTCGGCTCAGGTGAGCTAAAAAAGAAACGGATCTTTAGGTTAAAGAAAACGTATTCAGATTCCAAAAAATACATAAAAGGTGGTGATACAAAGAGAAAACACTTATTGTGCTTCTGCCGATTAAAATAGCACATTGTCTGTGTCAACTCTAGCAGCGGCAGCCTGCTCAAAAACTTTCTCCGTCTCAATTTTATCTCTCTTGAGTGTATAACTGTCAAAATGAGGACAAAGCAGGTCATTTTAAGGGGTAATCTAACCTGATTATGAAAAAAATGTATTAATTGAAAATTGAGATAGTGAATCGAATATTGAATTGAGGAATTATATTGACAATATTGATATTTCAATGAATTGTTTCAGCCCTACTGTTTTCACAATTAAACAATCCAAATAACTGTTGTTAATAGCCCTCCTAACCCTGAAATTGAGGCCATTGAAAATTTTGCTCATGTACACTGCCATTTTGGTTTGCAAGATAATTTTGTCCTAAGTGTTTTTGCAGATGTCAACTATGAGAGAACTTGATAGAGGAGTAAGGAATTTGTCCAAATTTATCTTTTATTTCAATTGAGGTAAGAATTTGGAGAAAAGAATCCAGAACCAAGAGCAATTTTTATTGCACAGTAAATATACAGTTTTTCTACGGGTAGCACTGAAGCTCTCTCATCATCCATTCCAATTTTTTTAGCCAAGCAAGCTACAGATCTGCAGCTACCAAAAATCATTGTGTCTGCAGTGACACAGATATAGAAAATAATTTATAATCCCCTAATTTATAACATAAAATCTAAAATATTACTTATAATTCAAATGGTTACATAAAATTTCTATCAGCTTTGGAATAATAGCACTGAAGTAAGTGTATCTGACCATCATCTGTTTTGTCTGCTGGTTTTTCCTCTGTCTGAACTTCTGGGGCTTCCTCCACTGGGGCAGGGCTTGGTGTCTCATTTTCCTCCATCCCTCCATCCAACTCAAATGGTACCTTCTTTTTTTTCTTCTTCTTTTTCATGTTTGTGGGATCAAATGGGGTCTATTGCGAAAATATTAAAAATTCAAAAAATAAATTTTAAAATACGTATCACACTAAAAAAAAAAAACAAAAATATATAAATTGCTTGCTTTTGCTCTGTGTGTATCACTGTATGGAAGTAATATATAATCCTAAACTGAGGATCTTTGATGTGTTTTATGTTTTTTAGGATTTGCTCCATCACAGCAATGTGACAAGTTTAGAATTATCAGGCACATTATATCTTACCGATCCACTGCTGACTGCAGCTTATGTTGCAAAAATGATGGATAATATATTTTCTCCCTTTCTTTCAATTCTATTTTAGGTATCTTTGAAATATCTTTAAAATGATACATAAAATCGTTGGGAATATACCAAACCCAGAAACTGCGTTGTTACGTGTAAAATAATATTGCCATGTGGTCAACTTTTACAGTGGTTCTTCATTTAATTTTCAGTGTATAAAATAAAATAGTGTATCCACATAAATGTACACTACTGAGGAAAATACACCATGCGTTTGGGGGCTAGTGGTCGCCATATTGAATTTTTTTTTTCTTACCAGCTCGTCCTCAGCCATGTTTCACGACAATGCCGGGTTGCATCAGAATGAAAATGTATGGAGGCCCGGGCGAGAAACTACGACAAGATCAGAAAAAATCATATAAAAAATCTACTTACAAATTTAAATAATATAAACTGACTAAATTAGAAAAATAAATTGAAGTATAACCAGTTTTCCACTCTTATAAAAATTACCATCCTTTAGAGGATTAAAATTGGACATTAAAACTCTGTAAACAAATATTCGTATAACCGATCCTGCCTTCCGTATACTGAAGGCGAAGGTCATTGAAGATGTCCAATAAGGGCGATTACTCTGTTCATTCCAAGTGTACACATTTAAGTATATTGCTTCTTTGCTGCAGCTATAGGTTAATTCAAGGATTAAAATTCTTTTTATGCCCTTGTAAACGAAGTTTCGGGGAGGGGGGTATACTCGATTCTCATTAAATCTATAACCTTGTAAAAATTATACTATAGGCTAGCTCATCTTTTAAATGTCTTAAGTTAATTTTGTATATCTATTTACTTTTCCTGTAGAATTACATAGTAAATTCAAAAATAAAAATTGGGGTCCATGTCGTCTACAAGTTTCTTAACTAAATGATAGTATTCAGCATGTGAAATGAACAATTTATAAGGTGTGGCTTCTACAAACTCATATAAAATCATCATCACAGAGTGATAAATATTCCATATAAAAAGAATCTCCTAAACACATAATAAAGAATAAGCAATCAAATTTTAATATCCATATTGGCATATTTTATCTGCTTCAGTATACATGTATACATTTAATAATTTTTCAACATAAGTCAGGGGGATCCGACAACCCCCCACCCCCAACTGCGCATGGTTTACTTTTTCCTTAGCGGGGTATATAATTCTTGAATTAGCTTGTTTGTTTTTGTTTACTTCAACTTGTCTTCTACTAGGCCTTTATCGTTCAATGCCGTATTGATATCATTGTATTCAATTTTAAAATCCCTGTTCACTTTAAAAAGTTTATCAATAGGGCACTAAAAGGTTTTGATTTTCTTCCTTTTGTTTTGCTTGTTTTTTGTTGAAATTTTTTTATTTTTTTTTATAATTATTTTTGTCAAAGAGTTCAGAAACGATGTCTTTTATCACAATTTTGAATTCGTCTGATTTTATCGTCCATGCATTTTAATTCCATTTGTGCTTCTGTTTCTTGATTTTGAAGTGTTGTGTAGACGTTCGCGCACGGTGTCTGTACTATAATATCTAACTCTTTATGTCGCGAAGAAATTGGCGTTTTCGCGATGTCATATTTACTTTAAATTAAAAATAAAATCATTTATGTTATCTAAAGTAATGAATAATTCTTAAAATTTTCTTTTAAATAATCAAAAATTATTTTAACTATGATGAGACGTTACTCAGTATTGGTCAATTACGGCGAAATTCCCGTCCCACGTTACATCAATTATTGTTCGCGCAACTAAAAGGTATGAAAAAATGCACTTACAATTCTCTGAATTAAATGAAATTTAGTGGGTACAATAAAATATATGCATTCTTTAAGATATTGTTGAGTTTTTAACATCATTTTATCAATTTCATGAATTTAGACTGGATCTTCAGTGCGTAAGTAAAATGTCTAACAGTAAGAAATCGTTTCCTAACACTGACATTAGCCGAAATGGAGATGTGTACCAGACATAAATCCCAGACAAATATTAATTTTGGTGAATAATCTTTTAGTACATATATTTCTTAGATTAATTGAATTGATACATTTTGTATTACTTTTCCAACGTAAATATTAGGAAGGCTTTCTTAGTCGTAGCCATTTTGTTATGTATACGCAAGAGTCACTGTATTGTTACTAAATATGTCTCAGTAACATATCAAAATATATAAATTAATGTAAGATATAAAGCAATCATGTATGTAGCTTGAAAGAACATTTAATGCTGCATTTACTAATTACACAATTTTTACAGTAATGGTCTACATGAAATAAATGCAAGCATCAATAAAAGTGTAGCCATTTTGTCACAGGTACGAAAAACGTCATTTTACGCCACGCGTACATATGACGTTGGGAGCGTCAAATTATTATCGCCGTGTTTTTTTTATGCAGGTCCGTAGTACCAGCCCACAGGTACTTGTGGACATGCAGGAACCACCCCACCCCCAATATTCAACCCCGGAGCTTGTTGGAGATTTTTTCACAAATTATATTTATTATACTTAATCATCATGTGTGCATGTTCCAAAGGAAAAAATTATGAAAACCACAAAATGATATCGTTCCACAAAAAATACCTTACTAAACGAAGTATGCATTATAAAAGCCCCCCCCCCCCCCCCCCCCCCGCCCTTCTTTCACCAAAAATAGAAAAAGGATTTTAGAATTTTCATGATAAACCAGATTTTCAATAATGGTGAAACGTCTCCATCCCTCACTTTTTTTTCATCGTATCAATATACTTCATTGATACTTTTTTTTTAAAATTCAAAATGACAAAAGTTCCATTGAAACGTATGAAGTATAAAAATTTTAACTCTCATTTTTTTTCTCTATACACCCAAAGCGCATCCGGATGCTATATAGTAATAAAAGACTTGTAATGACCTAAGTGAAAAAAAAATATTGAAGGAGGTTGAAAGGGAAAACTACTTATATATTTTCTCCTTATAAGACAGACAAGTGAGAAAATAGAAAGATGGATATTCACTGAATGCCTTTGGCATTTCAGTAATTAAAATTTTATTATTAGGATTTATTAATAAACAAATTTAAACATCTAAATATTTCAAAAAAGAAGGTTCAAACATAGAACATTATGTGCCCATTTATTTTATTTTTTTTTTAAATTCTTTTGAAAAATAAAGTTCATTTAAAGATCTAAAATATGCATGTATAAGGTTCAAAACATTTAAGATAACGTTATGACTTTTTAACGTTATTTTGACGTAACGTCAATGTTTACCAACACCGTTGCGCAACGTCGTAACGTTTTGTCAATTTAAAAAAAATGGCGTTGCTCCTGGATATATTCCAACGTCGATTTTTTTTGTGTCGATTTACATGTGTGAAGATGGTTCATACAGTGTAATTTGTAGTGAATATATTCTAAACACTTTTTAATACACGATTAGAAATTTTACATGTTTAAGAAATAAACATACAAAAAAAAAGAACGTGACAACGAAGTGTATAGAAAAGTGTTTTGATTCTAAACACATTTCTTTTAGTATATGCAAACATAATAAATGATGGGACAGTCTCCACTGTTCTTTTATTTCGACTTTACTGGGTATATCAAATTTACATATAAATTGAAGTAACGTTTTAATTCACAACTTGAAACGCCGATGATAGGTAAAGAAACACTATAGGATCGAGTTGAAAACCATAAGGCAAATGTCTTTTTCTTATGTACTAGAAGTTTTTTTTCTTAAATTAGATTCTGCTTGGAACCAAACAAAAGAAAAAAAAAACAGATCGACTGCTAAAAGAGCACAATTATTGCCTATCGAAGTAGTCTGGTCCGATTTACTGAAAAAATTAATTTAACAGCAAAGAATTATTATTTGTCCAGTATCACTAAAATATAGTGTCATAATATGGAATGCCATATACGACAGCCAACTGCTGACTGCCAATTGCTGACTGCTTACTGCCAACTGTCAGCTGCTAACTGCCAACTGCCACACATGTTTGAATGAATTTTCATATTTATATTGATATTTGTATGGATTTTCACCAAAAAAAAAAAAAAAAAAGACAAGACAAGAAAAAAAGGCACGAATCCAGGATATTTTTCCGAGGGGGTAACCCTGGTAAATTTGAATTGAGTAAAATGACCAATATGTTTTATCTTATGTAATATTCAATATATGCGGTTGATAAAGTACATTGTTTATTTTCTTAATTTGTTTCCTATTTGAAATAGGTAATTAAATGACTATTTTCTGCTTTTAATCTTAAGAAGCCCCCCTCCCCCCTCCCGCGGAGACAACAAAACCTTTGAAGAGAGATTAATAATAAAAAAGATTTGTAGTTTCGCAGAGAAAGATGTTTTGAAAAAAAAATTTCGTTTTCCATTATTCTATAGTTAAAATTTTCCTCAAATTAAAGATGTATATCTCTCTGTGTTATAATGTTTCACATGCATAGATCGGGGAGGGGGGCATTTAAAATTTGTACAGTCATACGTTAAATAAATTAAACGAACTACCGGTATAACTGACCTTGGACCTTCGTCTTAGAAAACGCCGATCAAACATTTATATCTCTTTGTTTGTACAAATAAAATATGTTTTACATGCATAGATCAAGAGAGAAGGGTCCGGAACACCCTGTAAAATTTGTAAAGTTATTTAATGCACAAACCAAATCAACTAAAAGTTATAAGTAAATCAACTAAAAGGGATCTTAGAACCCCCCCCCCTCCCCAACCGAAAATGTGGATTCGTGTTAAGTTGGTATGAAAAGAACATAAGAACCAACCAACCCCTCTCCCCGGCCAAAATAAAATTTCACATTTAGGAAAGGACTTTACGTATTTTTTCTTGTCAAGAAATTTCTAGGTTGGATTTTTTTTACCAGAGCGACCCTCTTGGAAAAAATATCCTATAGATCCGCGTTTTTTTTTTCAATTTATAGAAATATCAATATAAAAATAAAATTTATTCAAATATGTGTGGCAGTTGGCAGTAAGCAGTCAGCAGTTGGCAGTAAGCATTTGGCTGTCGTATATGGCATTCCATAGTGTCAAGCTTTTCTTTAACTTTAGTATACTCTATTGACATGATTAAGAATTGACCGACAGAACGAATACCAGCACAGTGTATCAAACTTAACCGTTCTCAAAAAATCAACATATTCTGGTGTTTCTAACTAATGATTTGAAATAGTTTAAAAAATTGGGAATAAATTAATTGCAATTAATAGCTCAAGAATTCATAAATTTAAACAACATTTATAAAGAAATCATTAGACGTTTTTATCGAGGGGACACAAATATAATTATATGTACTTAGCTGTGTTTTCTATAGAATACTATATATCTGGAAGAAGAAAAAAACTATTGGGGGTATGCCCTCTTCGATACATATGGTCATGTTTGCACAAAATTTGTAAAATTAAGAAACATGGTATGCAAAAAAAATTAATAAATCAATTACACAGGACCCATTATCGGTGTGTATATATTAGAAACACTGATTTTTTTAATTTAATATCTGCGTTCGTGATTGTGCCGCTATTCATTTTATCATCATATTATTGAAATCTACAAGTTAATGGCAGAATTTTTTAAAAATTATTTGTAATTGTAAAAGTTACATAATTTCGACTGAAAAAAAATGTTTATGTAGATCGGAAAGGGAAATAACTGCAGATCTGAAAAAGTTGGGATGGAGGATCAGAGAGCTAAAGTGCCACCAATAGAAAAAGCTGTGGATTTATTGCGCACAAAAATTTGCACTCGTTTTCCACTAAACTGTACAATAGTGCGATTTCAAAATATTTATTTGACCCTATCAACTGAACTCTCATATCACATATTTTCACGAAGCGCGTGGGACCGAATTACCACCTATCTTTGTTAATGTTAAATATGAGGTCATTGTAATCACTGACATATGTAATAAAATTTAAGTGAAGTTGATTTTTTAACGATCAATTATTCATAAACTTGGTAGATATAAGATGCAACCCCCCCTCCCCCCAAAAAAAATCGGAAACGAAAAAAAATTGTCGGAAATGCTGTGATGAAATTAAGTACATGTACACAATTTCTAATCAGTCCTTCTATTTAACAAGCTTGTGATCGAAAAAAAAAATGCCGGTAATAATGAATATAGTAGTAATTCCGGGGATGAATTGCATTGAAGATCGCTGTTGGTCAAAGATGTTTACCCCACCCCCCACCCAAGAATCAAGTTCTAAGCGCCTAAATGCATTGCTCATCAAAATGATCACTGCACTACCCTTTGATTTAGTCAAGAGTTAACTGTCCATTCATAAGGTGAATGTCAAATGTGTTTGTCCGTCTGTCTAGATGCTTGTTTCTGTCCATAATAAAGTTTTGTTCGCAGTTCTCACAGCAACAACTCATTAAATATACTTGAAATTTTAGCACATTTTTTTTGTTAAGATTTTTGTTAAGATCCGATGCCAGTGCCTGTTTATCCGTTAACACACATTTTGTTGTGGCATGCCATATGGTGGGATTTATTTTTGTTGAATCTGATGTCAACTTCCTAGTTGTCCGTGCATCTGACCATCACTGAACTTGTGTAAATTTTAATTTACATAACATTGTATATTCACAGTGGGTATTACTAGTGAGTTTTAGTTCATCCCTGTTTTTAAAATGTCAAACAAGTATGCAGTATACATGTACTTGCATAAAATTTTCCCGAATACCTTGTTTTATGTATATTACATTGATGAGATTACTAGTATGTATCTACATTAACTTCTTTTTTTAAAATGAACTTTTAGTGTGATCTAATATCCGTTAAGGTTCATTGATACTCTGATAAAAGAGAGATAACTCTTAATGACATAAATGTCTATTATTCCTTTATAGATTTGATAAAGAGGATTTTTAATTGTAGTTTAATTTTGCCCCCGGAAGCTATCGTATAATTGTTTGTATTTCACTTATAAAATACATTTCTTTTGGAAAATCATTAAAGTAAAAGCAACATTTTATATGAGTGAGTAGAGGATTTATGAACCTTTACATATAAGGTTATCCGATTTTTAAGTTTACCAGTTCAGGACAAGATGTGATCGGTCGATAGAGAACGCTTACTCCCTCATGGCACCTTATCCCCGCCTCCATGTGTATGGAGGTCTGTGTTTTGTCCTGTTTCCGTTTTGAATCGATTGAAAGGACTTTGAGCTGAAATACTGTTCTTTATCGCCATATTTCAATTGGCCTGAAAAACTGTTATTATGCTTACGTTTGAAATTAAGGATTTTTCCAAAAAGATATCATTGAATCTATGAAAAAGGTGACTTCCCGGATTTGTTGTTTTACAAAAAAAGAAGTAGCGAAGTACATGCACTTTTCTTTAAAAATGGAATGACTAATAATTTCTCATTAATAATTTCACAAACGTTGAAATTCGGATACATAATTACAGTTTTAAAAATTTGATTATTAAATCTCGTATTATGTTTTTGGGAGTTGAACTATATTCAGACTCCCTAGGCTTCACGCGATTTCTAGCGCAGTAATTTTACAATGAAATATATAGCGGCCGTCATGGTGTTTCTGTGTCGCCCAATTTACTCCCCTGTGATATTCAATACAAACTCGTACCAGTCTATATAAACTCGAAAAAACTTCCGCAATAAAAATAGTCCATCTCATTTTTCTGAATTAATCTAATTTTCATAAATGATTTGAAAGTAAATGAAATAGAATTTTATTTAACTTAATTTAAATAGCATATTTTTGTCATCTTTCTTGAGAAATGACACATAAATTTTGATTTCCGTATGAAAAAAAAAAGTCCCAGTCTTCCGTCATTTATTATTCGGCAATCCTCGGCTGACTCCACTACGCTCCATTACAAAAAGTGCGAGGTCATCCAAGGAGCAATAACTGGTCTAACTGGTTTGACAATGACGCGATTGTCTAAATATAGAGACGTAAACAAAGATGCAAGGAAAGGAACGCTAAGGTTTAACCCAACTTCTTTCAATTTGTTTCAGTAATAAAGAGACAGAACAACCTTTCTTTTTAAAAACAAAACACCGCGGAAAATATTTATTTGCTCTGACAAGTAAAATGATCTGTTAGACTGGAAAATTTTTGTCAGACCAGATACATGCAACTCATTTTTTTTTCGTTGGTAAAGGGAAAAAATAATAGCATTAAAGTTTGTTGATATTCTATCACACAATTTCAAATGACATTAAATTTGCATCCTTAATTTCATGAATTTATCAGCATTCAGTTGGTCACGTGTCAGGCACGTAGCATCGTTTTTGAAAGTGGGGGGGCCAACCTGAGAAAATTTTTTTTTACTTACCTGAAGAAGTTGACAAGCAAAAAAATTAAATGTAAATTAAAAGTTGCCCAAACTCGAAAATCCTATTCGGTGGGGGGGGGGGGTAGTGGCCAACTTTTTCAAAGCCAACTTACTACCACTTCAAATTTTTTTCCTCACAATCCTTGCTATTACTATACTATGGTTATAAAGTGGGGGGGGGGGCAACCATCCCATCAATGAACATTTACTATAGTAAAGGTTATGTTGGGGAAAAAAGTAGGGGGGGCAGGCCCCCCCGGCCCCCCCCCCCCCCCGGATGCTACGTCCCTGCGTGTACAACACCAAATCTGAACTTGAAAAATGTGTGTGTACTTGTATTGCAGTATAACCTTATAAAATGTATCATTTGATTTTATTATATAATAATTAAAACAGTTAAGATTAATGAATACATGCGTATGCACGCACACAACAGTATAATAATCCCAATGATCGATCTGTGAGAAAGATCGTTCCTCATGATAACAACTATTTTTATGCGCCCGGATCGATAGATCCAGGGCGTATATTGTTTTTGTCCTGTCCTGTTTGTCTGTCTGTCTGTTTGTTTGTCTGTTTGTCCCAAACTTTAACCTTCACCATAACTTTTGAACTATAAAAGATAGAGACTTCATACTCCACTAATTAAGCTCTTTCAAATGACACAAAGGTCAATGACCTTGTGACCTTGACTGCGGCCTATATGCTAAAAATAGCTTTTTCTGCAAACTTTAACCTTCGCCATAACTTTTGAACCATGAAAGATAAAGATTTCATATTTCGTATGCAAACTCCACTAATCAGTTTCTTTCAAATGACATCAAGGTCAATGACCTTATGACCTTGACTGTGACCTTAGTGCTAAAAATAGCTTTTTCCGAACTTTGTTGCCGGGCGCATAGTGTTTCAGATAACAATGTTCAACTCCCATGAGTTTCAGTACTTTGATTCTATTTTTTTTTTAATATTAAACATTGAAAAAAAGTAGAAAAGAGACAGTATTATTTGCATACATTTACACTCTGATTTCGTTAAGGGATATGCATATTCCTCACAAAAAAGTTATCATTCAAATATGCCTTTTAATTTGTCTCATATCCTAATGATATATTCATTTTTCCCATATATGCCTTTCAATACATATCTATTCTTTCTTCTCTCCACTTTTATTTTCATTTTTTCCCACCGAAAGTATATTTTTTATGTCTTTGATTCTGAAGTCTGAGTAGAAAATAATAACTATATATCTCAGTTTTTTTCCTGTACTTTTAAATTTAGGTTATGCACATAAATTATTCAATTCACCAATTAAATCACCAATTGTTCAATTATCCGAAAATATATCCTGTTCATATGTCAGTTTTGATTGGTTAAATGGGAAGATCCTGCGTCCATACATGTACCTATCACTATATAAGGAGATGAAATAATACAGTACAATCATACAGATTGGAAACTGAATTGGTTTCAAGAAAAATAGAAGATGAAGGTAAGTTTCTTTTTTTAAATAATTTATTGAATATTGATGTATCTGGTAAGGTTAAAAAGGAACTAAAATTAAATACTGTCATAATTTGATAAATAAATGCAAACAGTATAGATGTTAATAACAATTGATGATGCATTTATCTCGTTTTCAAAATTTCAAGTAGGAAGAATTTGTGATAGACCTTTTTAACGAGTTATCAACTCATGAACGATAATTCTCATGCACAGGCACCAATCTCTCACCAGAGGGCGCGCTCCGCTTGTGTTGGAGCAAAGCGTAAAAACGCCCTCTGGTGAGAGATTGGCACAGGCACTTGACGTTTCATATTTTTATACAAAAAGAATAACCTACTAGTTATTTGGGAAGTTTCTAGTATGCGTCAGAGAGATATGCGCACGAGATTTACATGCATAATAGCTATAGTATTAGACCTCCTTAGCTCCTGATCTATCGACCTGCCTAGTTTACATTCCGGTAGAATTATCAATTGGAATTTTGATCATGAAACCGGTTCTTAATTCAACGGCATAAAACACATATTAATGACTTTTTTTTGCAATTACCCCTCCCCCCTCTGCACTTTCAATTTGCTTCCGACACCAATGTAATCAATGCACACTTAATTAATTCAGTAATTCAGTTATATTCTTAGAATAAAATATTCACAAAAATATCTTAGATTTCAAAGTTACATGTAGCTTAAAATCGTAATATTTTGTATAATGTTTATTTGAAAAGAAGTATATTTGTATATGTAAATCCTGAATATGAGTATATGTAGTATAGATATATATAGTATATATAGTCTAGATCCGCGCCTGGTTTTTTTCTTTTTATATATAATTCACATAAATATCAATATATGAAAATAAAAATTATTCAAATATGTGTGGCAGTTAGCAGTAAGCAGCTGACAGTAAGCTGTCAGCAGTTAGCAGTAAGCAGTTGGCTGTCGTATATGACATTCCATAGCTTTCTTAATTTTTGTAGTTTTTTTTTAATAAAAATATATTTGCCTTAGATACACAACCCTGACTTTCAGCGTTATTAATTTTTTTAATAAAGTAGCCAAAATATAACACTGATCCCCCCAAATCGTGGAAACACAGGATACCCGGTAGTTTGTGAGGGAATATCTGAAGCGACCCTTCCATCCAAGAGAAACATGGTTAGGTTTTCAACATTGGCTAGTTTCCCTTTCGTTTCGTTTATTTATTTTGTTTATGTTTTTTTGTCCCAATATTTCAGAGGGTTTTGACACCATACCCCCGCCTCCGAGAAAAACTCTAGGATCGCCATCTCTCTCTCTCTCTCTCTCTCTCTCTCTCTCTCTGAATAGGAATGCGCTTTTTAGTTGTTTAGATAAAAAGAAGTTGCAGGGACGGTGTTTTTTAATTGTTGATATCAAAGATGGTTAGAAGAGTAGCTTTTAGTCCATCCCAGACTCTAACTCTAGTTCTCATTCTCAAGGTTATGCTCCTAAAACGATCCATTTTTAGGCCGAGGCAGGCTACTGACAGATAAGTTTGTTACGGGGATTTCGATTCACCAACCTTGTTTAAAGTCAGCGTTACTTACATGCTATGGTCACTATATTGATCTTTATCACATTTATAACCTATTATTGGATTTATTTTGGCCGATGTGTTTCATTCTAAGTGTTAGGCTATTTAACACAGGCACTTGTTTCGTATACGGGGTACCCCCTACCTATATTTACCACAAGGTACCTAACTCTTTTTCGGGCACCCCCGCTTCAAGCTCGTATTTACTAATAAATCAATCATACATCTACATTATCTTGACATAGTTCGCTCCAAGAGATTTTTTTTCCTACATTGCTGACGTCTCCTGTAAAGATATTTTGTTGTAAAATGCTTATATATTCATCGATAATCAGCTGGAATCATAGTAAGACAAACTTTAAGCTACATTGACTTCCGGTAATTGGGGTCTAAATGTTATATCAGTGATTTCATTGGTTGCTAAGTTAAGCAACGCAAAACTGAAAATTAATTCATGGCGTTGACAAAATCGCAACAGGAGATTCTGGATAAGGCTAAAGTATAATTAGTAACTAAAAAATATATTATCTATAAAAATGTTACCAATTATTTTTCACTTGCAGATTATTTTAATTTCATAAAAAATATTTTGTCCGTAAGCGCCAAACCGGAAGTCAATGTAGCTTAAAGTTTGTCTTACTTTGATTCCAGCTGATTATCGATGAATAAATATAGGATCTCCCATGATTTGTAGTTGGATATGATTTTTATCCAAAGTTGTGTGATTTTTATAGCCTTGGCGAGGGGATAAAAACACAGCGAGTTGGATAAAAATCATACAACTACAAACCAAATATCATGTTTAATACTTCACAAACGATGTATTACACTGTTTTTATAGTGGACTCTGCTATATTTTACTTCATCACGCTTACGCAAAAACCATTGTGAGTCAATGTGGGAGAAAAATATCCCACGAGTTATATCCACGGGATAAAGGGGTAAACATGGGATAAATAAGCATTTTACAACAAAATATCTTTATAGGAGACGTCAGCAATGTAGAAAAATATCTCTTGGAGCGAACTATGTCAAGATAATGTAGGTGTATGATTGATTTATTAGTAAATACGAGCTTGAAGCGGGGGTGCCCGAAAATGAGTTAGGTACCTTGTGGTAAATATAGGTAGGGGGTACCCCGTATACGAAACAAGTGCCTGTGCTATTTAATTTGTTAATTGTAATACATTTGTACTGAATTTGACTAGATACGATGTTCTGTCAGTGGCGTATATTCCATATAGGCTAAAGGCTGCAGCTTACACATGATTTTCTCAAGGTGTACAAAAAATGTAAACATATATAACTCTGAAAGTAATATAAAAGGATAGAGTTAATAATAAAGTTACTTTAAAATAGGTATTGCCCTTTTAATTTTATTTCATTTGATGTTGAATGCCAAAAAGGTAATAATCTTTAGCAAACTGCATTTTACGTAATCCGATCGTTTGATTCCGATAATTTGGTTATCATTCAAGGTGAAATTTCAAAATTTACTTTAAAGTCTATAACAAATTTTTATATCCCCCGCTTGAAAAGCGGGAGGGTATTTAGTAATCGGTATGTCCGTCCGTCCGCTGTCTGTTACGCTTTGGGATACCCATCTCCTCTTATACCACTGAGTGAAATTTAATGAAATTTACACAGAATCTTCTTTACATTTTGCCAATGTGAACCACTAAATAATTTAAATGATACTTTCACTCAGATTCTTTATTCCATAATGCCTTTGTGCACATTCTATTTTACTTTTTAATCTAACACTTATTTCGGGCCTCTAAGAGCACAACAATGACTTTGTCATTATAATCATATGGGAGGGGGGTATCATTTAGTGAGCTCGTTGCTCACAGTACCTCTAGTAATCATATGGGAGGCGGGGGTATCATTTAGTGAGCTCATTGATCACAGTACATGTATCTCTAGTTCATGACTAAAATGATGGATGGATTTCAAAATTTTGTAGATTTAAGGCAATTGAATAGATCCTGTTCACTTGTCGTATATATCCTATAAAACCAGGATCTAATGCTTCAGATTTCCTTGTCGTGTCGTCTTATCATTACGTGATGTGTCTTGAGATTCTGTTGTGGTTGTCTGTGGTTGTTAACCAGAGAAATTTGTCTCCTTTTGATAATAATATGAAATTTTTGTTTAGTAATGAGATATAACGAAAAAATTTATCTCTATCCTCAGTTTATAATGGGCATTCATTAAGAAAATGATATTCACCTTCTATATAGTTTTGGTTACACATTAAAAATATTCTTTTGTTTCTATCTAAAGGGAATTCTTTGACCAGCATTATTTTTTACAGATTCATATCTGCCTTTTTCAATTCTTAGGTCATGAACACTTATTCTAAATCTGCATATGGATTATCTTATTTCATGAGATTTGATGTACATATAGTTTTCCATTGTAAAATTTTTTTTAAACATGAAATAAGTAGTAAGTTTTCCAGAGTCAAGTCCCTCTTCACGTTTCATTTTCCAATATTGTAGGAAGTGTTTTTTTTCAAATGCTTCTTAACTTGTTTTTTTAAAAATGTGTTTTTGTATGTTTTACATTCTGGTAGTGAGATATTAATTTTCTTACTGAAATAAATTACATTTTTGTACCAGCAGTTAATATTGCCTTGACTACGGTTAATATTTTCTGTATAGGCTTTATGTAACAGGGAAGATTCTGGACTTGATTGCAACCTATGCCAGTGTAATAAGATGTTTTGAATTATTGAAAAATACATCGTATATATATTGTACACCGCCTTCGGCGGCACCTATTTTAGCGCCATATTTACTACAGGAACCGGTATACCAGAAGTGTTCCAGTTATTTTTATGTAAGAAAATATGATTGATTGATTGATTGATTGATTGATTGATTGGTGTTTAACGCCGAGTCGGCAATATTTCAGCCATATTTCGGCAGGAAATTATGTTAAATGATCAGTTTTGAAAGTTTTTTGGTTTCTCTGGCGGCCCCTAGTGAGCCTACTTTTTTCGAAAACCGGAGAAACGATCTTTTGCGTGCCAAGGAGGTTGTTATCCTTGACACGGGGCACCGTTTAACGTCCCATCCGACGGACAAGAAAATATGTAGCGTCAAGTATTCTCATAAAATGCCTTCTATGTGGAATATGTATTCGTTAAAATTGTTTTCTCCTTTTTGTTTTAAATACAGATTTTGATAGTTGCTGTCCTTGTGGCGTGCTTTATGTCTTGCTATGGCCAGAAGACTCAATGCCTTTTAGAAGACCCAGTAGACAGGGAGATTGATGGGGGGAGTCGAGCCCAGACAACAGATATGATGTAAGTTACGTCGTATTTCAAGGTCACTATGATTAAAGAAAGTTTTTATTTAAACCATTCATGGATCAGCCAAAGATGATATTTAATCTACTGCGAGTTTGAGATTTTAAAAACAGATTTAAAAAAAAAGATCTCAGAAAAAAAAAAAACAACAACTAAATAATCATTTTACTATATCTTTTCTATATAAGAAATATATTTTTGATCTATTATGCTCAGTGTTTTGTAATTACTAAGTTATTGCAATGTTATTTTAAAATGTGCTGCGCTTCAACATTAATCAGTACAAATAGATTTGAGCTCCCCTTGAAAATAAAGACTTGTGATTATTATACAATCAAAGTATATCATTAGGGGAGTTAGCATGGTCGAGGGGAACTGGAATCTTGCTAACTTCCTCAACGATATACTTTTTAACTGTTTTATTATACCGATACAAAAATTAAAAAAAATAGAGGATAACTTCTGGACTAACGCACGGGCATTAGTCCATTAATTACTTTGAATAATTTTTCACCTGTCTATAAATATTTGCGAATCAACAGTTTAAATTGAAATCTAAGAAACAATTGTTAAGAAACAAAATTCAAGTACTTATTGTAAACGCCCAGTCTACATAGTACTTTATTATGGTTAAACAATTTGCATTACGGAAGAACAGTTTGGTGTAAGCTAACAGAAATGAAACACGGTAATATTTTGAAATATTTATTTAATATTTTGGTCGGCAGGGGATGCTCACTCCTCCATGGCACCTGATCTCCATATTCTCCATAAATAAATAAAGGAAGATAGATTTGAATTATACGTATTTATACTATTAATGAGAATTTGAAAGATGCATGTAACTTAAATTTATGTCAAAATTTCAAATCAATATTACGTCTGAAATAATATTGAGAATGAAGGGAAAATTCATCCTTTCTTTAATTTGAAAATTACGCAATTATATAATAATTTTAATACACATAAATGATGTTATATAAAAAAATTTATTCAAAATGAAAACTGTGACTTGAGTCAGTTTTCAATTTTTAAGGTCGCGAGACCTGACTTGTCATGCAAGAGCTACATGTAGTTATGATACAGCTTGCTAACTTCACATCGTATTGTAGTGTTGAATCAAGAAGCTGTATAATTTTTCCTTTCGATTTCTTGCTTTAATTTAATTTTAAATATAATTTGATATATGAAATGTTTTTCATCTAGGCAAAAGATCGATGCTGCTTTGGAAGAAAACACTGAAGTCAAAAATTCAGTGAACGAAATATCAGCTGAAAGAGTAGAACCGATCGAAAAGTAAGACGATATTAACTATTATTATGTAATATGAGCTTGAAGGTAATTGAAAAAAAATCGACATTTGATTATTGATTTTAAACTTTCTTTTTATAGTAAACACTTTGCCCTTGACACGTGTCCAAGGAAACTAGGTTTCATCACTTTCGTTGTTGTTAACGATGAAACGTGCTATGTTGTGCTGCCGAAACTACAGAGGGTGACATATGCGATCTGTGGAGTAAAGTACGTCTTTGTTTAATCAGAACTATAAATAGAACATTAAAATGTATTCTATGTATATTTTTTCCATTATTTGTTTTGTGACTTCTGGTTTTATTCTCACTTGGGAAATTTCATAATTAAAGAGTTCATCGTTAAAGACTAATTGATGTTGTCGTGTGTTAATGTTTGGACCAAAGACAGCAAAGCCTATATGGCAATGTTAATTTTTTGAAAAATGACTGCTCACAAGATTGAACACAGGGGGAAACATATAATGTATTACTTCCTAAAATTGTTAACTTGCAAAAAAAAAAAACTGTCCGAAGGAAAAAGTAGTACAATATGACTGAATATAATACAAAACTTTTATTCATTCTTTTCTTCATTTCTTCACTCAAATAATTAATTTCTTCTTATTTTCATAGTTTGTTTAGCTGTTTTGTTTTGTATGATTGCAGTGATTGCTATGGGAGCAAATTATACAAGAGTACATGCATCAGAGATGGATGGACCAAGCTGAGGTTTTGGGTGTGGTGTCCAAAGCGTGGTTTCCAACTGGTTTCCAGGTGGTACCCACAATGCTGTTCTTGCTACAGATGGCGCAGTTGCTTCGAATTCACAACAGCATAAATGGCATTAATCAAACCTGAACTGCTCTTACAACTTTTCGTTTTTAAACAGTTGTTTAACTTTCTTTATTACATATTTGATTCTTTTCAATGTTTTTTTTTCTCTTAAATTTGAATTTTTAAAAAAAAAATAATTTGAATAAAATTTTCTTTCCAAATGTTATTAATTTATTGATGCCGAGCATGTGTGGCGTTCAGATTTTAGAACGCAGTTCGCTATTCGCAATTCAAAAGTGAATTGCGTTCTAGAACGCAGTTCGCAATTCAAAATTTAAACATCAGCTGTTTGGTCTGAAATTTTGTGGGTGGGGTACTAGGCGTCAGTTACCACTTCTGTGAAAAAATGGTGATGGTACCATCTCTAGTTTCCGAGATATGGTCGTCTGGTTTTTAGCCCTACTATATAATACTATACGAATAAACATCGGGCTCGGGGACATCGAAGTCCCCTACCCTGGGGTCTGAAATTTTGGGGGTGGGACAGTAGGGGCAAGATACCACTTCTATGAAAAAATGGTGAGGTGATGGTACCATCTCTAGTTTCCGAGATATGGTCGTCTAGTTTTTAGCCCTACTATATAATACTATACGAATAAACATCGGGCTCGGGGACATCCAAGTCCCCTACCCTGGGGTCTGAAATTTTGGGGGTGGGGCAGTAGGGGCCAGATACCACTTTTATGAAGAAATGGTGATGGTACCATCTCTAGTTTCCGAGATATGGTCGTCTACTTTTTAGCCCTACTATATAACTCTATACGAATAAACATCGGGCTCGGGGACATCAAAGTCCCCTACCCTGGGGTCTGAAATTTTTGGGGGTGGGACAGTAGGGGCCAGATACCACTTCTATGAAAAAATGGTGATGGTACCATCTCTAGTTTCCGAGATATGGTCGTCTAGTTTTTAGCCCTACTATATAATACTATACCAATAAACATCGGGCTCGGGGACATCGAAGTCCCCTACCCTGGGGTCTGAAATTTTGGGGGTGGGGCAGTAGGGGCCAGATACCACTTCTATGAAGAAATGGTGATGGTACCATCTCTAGTTTTCGAGATATGGTCGTCTAGTTTTTAGCCCTACTATATAATACTATACGAATAAACATCGGGCTCGGGGACATCAAAGTCCCCTACCCTTGGGTCTGAAATTTTGGGGGTGGGGCAGTAGGAGCCAGATACCACTTCTATGAAGAAATGGTGATGGTACCATCTCTAGTTTCCGAGATATGGTCGTCTAGTTTTTAGCCCTACTATATAATACTATACCAATAAACATCGGGCTCGGGGACATCGAAGTCCCCTACCCTGGGGTCTGAGATTTTGGGAGTGGGGCAGGTAGGGGCCAGATACCACTTCTATGAAGAAATGGTGATGGTACCATCTCTAGTTTCCGAGATATGGTCGTCTAGTTTTTAGCCCTACTATATAATACTATACGAATAAACATCGGGCTCGGGGACATCAAAATCCCCTACCCTGGGGTCTGAAATTTTGGGGGTGGGGCAGTAAGGGCCAGATACCACTTCTATGAAGAAATGGTGATGGTACCATCTCTAGTTTCTGAGATATGGTCGTCTAGTTTTTAGCCCTACTATATAATACTATACGAATAAACATCGGGCTTGGGGACATCAAAGTCCCCTACCCTGGAGTCTGAAATTTTGGGGGTGGGGCAGTAGGGGCCAGATACCACTTCTACGAAGAAATGGTGATGGTACCATCTCTAGTTTCCGAGATATGGTCGTCTAGTTTTTAGCCCTACCATATAATACTATACGAATAAACATCGGGCTCGGGGACATCCAAGTCCCCTACCCTGGGGTCTGAAATTTTGGGGGTGGGGCAGTAGGGGCCAGATACCACTTCTATGAAGGAATGGTGATGGTACCATCTCTAGTTTCCGAGATATGGTCGTCTAGTTTTTAGTCCTACTATATAATACTATACGAATAAACATCGGGCTCGGGGACATTAAAGTCCCCTACCCTGGGGTCTGAAATTTTGGGGGTGGGGCAGTAGGGGCCAGATACCACTTTTATGAAGAAATGGTGATGGTACCATATCTAGTTTCCGAGATATGGTCGTCTAGTTTTTAGCCCTACTATATAATACTATACGAATAAACATCGGGCTCGGGGACATCAAAGTCCCCTACCCTGGGGTCTGAAATTTTGGGGGTGGGGCAGTAGGGGCCAGATACCACTTCTATGAAGAAATGGTGATGGTACCATCTCTAGTTTTCGAGATATGGTCGTCTAGTTCTTAGCCCTACTATATAATACTATACGAATGTTTTTCCCTAACCCATTAAAAGTTATGGTTAATGTTTGTTTCTTAAAAGTAGGTCAAACTCCAGGGTCAAAGGGACAGCGCTCTTTGTATCCAATGAAAAAATCTCACAAGAAATACATATGTGAAGTATGAAAGCCCTTACCGTTCAAAAGTTATAGCCAAGATTAAAGTTTTTAAATTAAAAGTAGGTCAATATCAAAGGTCAAAGTCAAGAGCTAAAGTATTGGTATCCAATGGAAGGTCTTGTCACAAAGAATAAATATGTAAAGTTTGAACGTCTTAGCACCAACCGTTCAAAAGTTATTGCCAAGGTGAAAGTTAAAAAAAAAGAAGATAAAACTCCTAGGCCAAAGGGTCAAGATTGTTGGTATTAAGTTTTTAAAAGTAAGTCTATTTCAAAGGTCGAGGTCAAAAGGTAAAAGTTGTTTGTATCAAATAAAAGGTTTTGTCCCAAGGACTACATGTACCTATGAGAAGTATGAAAACCCTCACTAGCTGTTATGACCAAAGTAAAAGTTTGGAATTTTGGTGTAAGAGTGTGTCAAAGGTCAAGGTCAAAGTTGGCGGTACTTAAAGAAAGGTCTTATCACAAGGAATCCACTTGTGAAATTACTGAAATATGAAAGCCATAGTCCATCCCAGAAATCTAAAATTAACAGTACTCATAAAAGTTCAAAAGGAATAAATCGATAATTTTCTTCTAAACCAGAAGTCTCTGTCGAGACTGAAGCTCTACTGGTTTGTACTTTTCGTATTTTTAGTAACCACTGCAACAATGTTTATCCAAGTCAAAAACCAATATACAGATTTGTGTATTTTAGCACACTCTACATGTGTGCCAAGTTATATTGAAATCAGACCAAAACTGTAGAAAATGTAGCATTTTGAAAGAATTTCCCAGAAATTTCTATTTTTAGTAACCACGGCAACACCGTTCATCGAAATCAAAAACCGATAAACAGAATTATGCTTCTTAGTGTAGTCTACTTGTGTGCCAAGTTATATTGAAATCAGACCAAAACTGTAGCAGGAGTAGCATTTTGAAAGAATTTCATAGAAATTTCTATTTTTAGTAACCACGGCAACACCGTTTATCGAAATCAAAAACCGATATACAGAATTATGTATCTTAGTGTATTCAACTTGTGTGCCAAGTTATATTGAAATCAGACCAAAACTGTAGGAGGAGTAGCATTTAGAAAAATTGTTTAGAGACAGACAGACAGACAGACGGACGGACGGACGCCGGAAGCATTACTATCGCATAAGCCGTTCATCGAAATCAAAAACCGATAAGCAGAATTATGTATTTTAGTGTAGTCTACTTGTGTGCCAAGTTATATTGAAATCAGACCAAAACTGTAGGAGGAGTAGCATTTTGAAAGAATTTCTCAGAAATTTATATTTTTAGTAACCACTGCAATAATGTTTATCCAAGTCAGAAACCAATATACAGATTTGTGTATTTTAGCATACTCTACATGTGTTCCAAGTTATATTGAAATCAGACAAAAACTGTAGCAGGAGATGTAGCATTTTGAAAGAATTTCACAGAAATTTCTATTTTAGTAACCACTGCAATAATGTTTATCGAAATCAAAATCCGATAAATAGAATTATGTGTCTTAGTGTAGTCTACTTGTGTGCCAAGTTATATTGAAATCAGACCAAAACTGTAGGAGTAGTAGCATTTTGAAAGAATTTCACGGAAATTTATATTTATAGTAACCACGGCAACACTGCTTGTCGAAATCAAAAACCAAGTTATAATGAAATCAGGCCAAAATAGTAGGCGTAGTAGTATTTTGAAAGAATTTCCCAGAAATTTCTATTTTTACTGACCACGGCAACACCACTTGTCGAAATCAAAAACCGATAAAAAGAATTATGTATCTTAGTGTAGTCTACTTGTGTGCAAAGTTATATTGAAATCAGACCAAAACTGTAGGAGGAGTAGCATTTTGAAAGAATTTGACAGAAATTTCTATTTTTAGTAACCACTGCAACACCGTTCATCGAAATCAAAAACCGATAAACAGAATTATGTATCTAGTGTAGTCTACTTGTGTGCCAAGTTATATTGAAATCAGACAAAAACTGTAGGAGCAGTAGCATTTTGAAAGAATTTCACAGAAATTTCTATTTTTACTGACCACGGCAACACCGTTTATCGAAATCAAAAACTGATAAAGAGAATTATGTATCTTAGTGTAGTATACTTGTGTGCCAAGTTGTACTGAAATCAGGCCAAAACTTTAGAAGGAGTAGTATTTTGAAAGAATTTCAGGGAAATTTATATTTATAGTAACCACGGCAACACCGCTTGTCGAAATCAAAAACCGATACACAGAATTATGTATCTTTAGTTAGTGAAGTCTACGTGTGTGCCAAGACAGTTATATCGAAATCAGACCAAAACTGTAGGAGGAGTAGCATTTTAAAAGAATTTCACAGAAAATTCTATTGATAGTAACCACTGCAATAATGTTTATCGAAATCAAAAACCGATAAATAGAATTATGTATCTTAGTGTAGTCTACTTTTGAGCCAAGTTATATTGAAATCAGACCAAAACTGTAGCAGGAGTAGCATTTTGAAAGAATTTCATAGAAATTTCTATTTTCAGTAACCACGGCAACACCGTTTATCGAAATCAAAAACCGATATACAGAATTATGTATCTTAGTGTATTCAACTTGTGTGCCAAGTTATATTGAAATCAGACCAAAACTGTAGGTTGAGTAGCATTTAGAAAAATTGTTTAGAGACAGACAGACAGACAGACAGACGGACGGACGGACGGACGCCGGAAGCATTACTATCGCATAAGCCGTTCATCGAAATCAAAAAC